ATTATGAAGATTTGCATTTTGATAATACTTACTAATTATAAGTCATTATTCACCTGCCAACCCATCATCTTTTATAACTTTTTATTTGAATTTGGAAACTGGTAAAATCTCAAAAAAAAAAAAAAATCTCAAAATAATTGTAATTTTTTTTTCCCACAGTTATGATACATTCAATATAACTGCTTTGAAATTTTTTTTTTTATGTGTGGTATATGCTTGAATTTAATGTGGATCAAAAGATCTGTTAAATAATTTAGTGATTGTGCTAAGTCAACAATAGTAACCATCTATGTCTGGTAGATTTAGATATATAATAATCAAACCAAGTCAAACCTCATCTATTAGGGCCTAGCTAGGCAGAATTTACACACCATTGTTGATCTGTCCTCCCATGTGGCTAAATTATTATATTCAATCAACTTCAATCAATGGTGGCCTACCTAATCAATACATGGTATCTTCAAGCTTCATAACTCTTAGGTTCATATAAATATTCAGCTAATTTTAATTTATAGGTCCACATAAATATTTTGTAGCCTTATCCCCCTTGTTTTATTAGTGCCAATATGAATTAGATTAGGACGTGTTTCGTTTAAGCATTGTGATTTGAAATGAGCTAATTCAATATAGTTGGAACTAAATATCAATTTTTGTCGAATCTTCACTAAGTTTTGTTTATATGCCTTGGTCCTAGTGCGTGAATGATAACACATATATAAGATACAAATGAATCATAAAAGTAGTTCAAGTAATAACAAAGGTACAAATGGTAAACTTAGACGTCGTGAGTTATAATCTTAGCAACCTCTTGGATCAAGTCATGAGAAATTTATCCCTCATGAATACCTTAGTCTTTGGACTTGGGAGGGAATTAATTGAGGTATATGTAAGTTAGTCCAGACACCCTTAATCGTCGAAAAAAAAATTTCATGTAGAAAGTGGTATAAAATTACATCCAATTGATATTAGATGCTGGAATAACCATATTAATTATCCCAATATTTTGCTATTCCCCAATATATTCAAAAATGCCACGGTCACACACGTATCCCTTCCAAGAAGAACTTTCAGAAGACACAAAAAACCTTATCTTATAAAGAAGAATGGCAGTGCTCAGCCTCAGAGAGTGACTTATCCACATTGGACTAAGACTATATTCAGCTGAGCAACAGTGGTGAAGCTTTTAGCAGCCATGGCAGCCTTGAGCTGCAATTTTAATCCAATAAATCATGAGAGTTGTGTAAAAGCCAAAACCACCAGGCTTTCCACCTCTTGCTCAATGCAGCCCTCTCAAAACAACATCAAGGTGATACTTTGATGTCACTCCTATTTCAAACATAATTTAGTTTTTTGTTCGCAGAAACTAAGGTACCTCTCTCTCTCTCTCTCTCTTTATATATATATATATATATATATATATATATATATATATATATATATCTTGCTTGGAGAATAGGTAGTCATAAATGGAGCAGCCAAAGAAATAGGGAGGGCAGCTGTAGTTGCAGTGACAAAAGCTAGAGGGATGGAAGTAGCTGGTGCAGTGGATTCTTATCTTGTAGGAGAAGATGTTGGAAAGGTTTCTCTTATCTCTCTCTCTCTCTCTCTCTCTCTCTCTCTCTCTCTCAGGAAGCTTAGTGGTTACTTTTTGGTTCTAATTTTTGACTTCTCCAATTAAGTAGGTGTGTGACATGGAAGAGGCTCTGCAAATACCCATAATAAATGATCTCACCATGGTTTTGGGTTCTATATCTCAGGTATCATCTCAATTACCCAATATCTCTCGGTGGTTCCTTAGCCCTGTCTTATTTGAATGATTTGTTCATTGAATTCTTGGCAGTCAAAAGACACTGCTGTTGTTGTGGATTTCACGGACCCTTCTACAGTTTATGACAATGTCAAACAGGTTCACTCTTCAATCTCATTCACCAACTTCAAAATTATTGTTACCAATAAATGCCGATAACTACTATATTATAAAATTGTAACACATTAATATGGACTAATTGGGTAATGTTTATACGTGGTATCTAATAGGCTACGGCATTTGGCATGAGAAGTGTGGTCTACGTGCCTCGGATTAAACCAGACACCGTTATGGCGTTATCTGGGTTCTGTGAGAAGGCCAGCATGGTGAGCACAGGGTGAGATGTTACATCAATTTGCTTATCTTCCATATGTTCCTCTGTTTTTCAATAGTGCCTTGCAAATCAGAAAACTGTTTGAATCACTTAATGTCATCAAATCTATGGTGTTTGACACATTAATCTCAGGGTTGTCTGGTTGCACCAACTCTGTCCATAGGATCTATACTACTCCAGCAGGCTGCAATTTCTGCCTCCTTCCATTACAACAATGTCGAGATTGTTGAATCAAGGGCAAACGCAGGAGTAAGTCTCTTCAGAACTCGGCCAAAGCTAAAAATAATTCCTAATAAATCTCCATCTTGGTATTAATAACTTGATAGCAACATGTCAAGTGACTGATATTTTTCCCTTGTGAACAGGATTTGCCATCACAGGATGCAATACAAATTGCCAACAACCTCTCCAACATTGGTCAGATCTACAATAGAGATGACATTTTAACAGACGTTCTGGTAGGAAAAAACTCAAAATCCCATCATATTGATGTTACACATACAACATAAAATCAAACGAGCTAATAATAATAATGAGGAAAATCTACACATTGGTAATTGGTTGTATTAAAACCAGTAAATAGCATTAAGCAAAACAAACATGAGGATCCAATTTATCCAAGAGTACAGGAGTACATGAAGCTTTTCAATAAGGAAGTACAGAATTTTGATAACCCCTCTGGATTCTAGCATTCTGACATGGTCCACAACTTTTTTGTAATGCAAGGCAAGGGGTCAAGTTCTGGGAGAAGATGGAGTCCGTTTACATAGCTTGGTTCTTCCGGGGCTCCCAGCCAGTACAACAGTCTACTTCTCTGCGCCAGGAGAGGTCCATTATTTTCTTGGGAAGCATTGACAAACATTTCCTCCATGACATTAAAATCTCACTTCTAAGAATTGTTAATCGCAGGTTTACTCTGTCAAACACGATATCACAGATGTACGGTGTCTCATGCCAGGCCTAATCCTGGCCATCAGAAAAGTTGTCCGCCTTAAGGTACTTGAATATCGGAAACCATTTTTCTTTACCCTTGAAGATTTTTTCTTCAGCACTCAGAGAGTAAAAATATTATCTAATTTCACCTTGGCAGAATCTGGTGTATGGGTTGGAGAAGTTTTTGTAGAAACCCAAGAGTTCCTCGACCTCCACAATGCGGGACTTAGCTTCTGGTATCAGTTTGATGGACTGCGTGTAAACAAAGTTATCATATGTACATGTATGTGAGAGGCAAATGTTAAGTGAAAAAAATTAAAAGCAGAAAATAACTTCTTTTTTTCCTCAAACAGTGTCGTGCAATTTCTTCAATAGTCAAAAGTCACTTTGTGAACTTAATGCAAGTTTGTCTCATATTCATTGAAGATCCAATCTTGATGAATGCTTTATTAAGTGGTAGATTCAGTAACAAAATAGAAGAACATGACGTTTCTTCCAACCATGACAAGTACTTGGCTACTTGAAGTTTACAACACAACAAATCAAAAGTCTAAAAAGAAGGTAGGTGAGGGGGAAAAAGATCATTACAAAGCAAGTTGTTAAGCAGCTTCCCTACCTACCATTTATAGCCTTCAACATATATGCAGCTAAGCCATAGGCTTCAAGGATCCCAAATGAATTAGAAGCCATAAGCTGGAATCTCAAGATCACTTGACCGCTGGAAGAATTGGATGTCTCTGTTGCCTTCCTAAAATAGAGTTTTGATATTAACTGGAGAACCAATGGGAATTTTCATTTCATGCAGTTACTTTTTCTCGACAATAACTAGTTCTTATATGAAGTATTTCCCTAATGAGAAGAGTTCAGTTGATTGATTTCTGTCTCATTCCAAATCTTTCTCCAAGGCGATTATAAGCTAATTGGCCAGGTTTTCATAGAATTTGAGGTGGTGATAGTAGACTCTTTACCAGGAGTTAATTGTAATCAATTTGAGATGACATGAAATTATTCTGCAAGCTACCTGCTCACAACCATAGAACATATTGTCGCCCAAATTGTGAGCCGATCTTAGAATAGACAACATCTTCATAAGTTAAAAGATTTTCAGAAAGCTTGTGGAATTTCATCTTCAATAGCTATCCACAGTCACAGTAATATTTCACAGTGTGGGATACACTATTTGATGTCTTCTATTGTTTTGAGGACTGCAAGTATGCGTTTAGAGCACTAAAGAAACATTTCAATTTTTGAGTCATTTGAAATCTGATTTGGAGCACAAAGGTTTTACTAAAGGCAGTTCAAAAGGATGGATCATACCAGAAAATAACAAGACGGAATAAATTCAATTAAAACAAACGCATCCTAGAACCGCAATTCATGATTTGTTCACACATAGAAAGATTGACCTTTCATTGATTCCCTGTGATCACTCGTACTTTGTTTGGTCATTTATGAGAAGAATGCTTGCTTGATATGATCTTTCGATGCATTACATAAACTACTATAGCTTTAAAACTCTAGTATATGCTCCCTGAAGGCCAACATGGACAGTACACCAATACAGCATGGAAAGGGATAATTAAATTGATTTGTACTTCTTACACATTAGCAGATCTTCAGAACAAATGAAAAATTGAGGATTGAGAGGATTATACTAACCATTTCCAATTCCACCTGGCACAATCAAGCATGCAAGCAGAAACTGAAAAGTGGAGTAGCTTCCCCGATATCACTCATAGACTGAAAAAGCAATTCAGCGCATCAAAGACCATTCTAGAAGCATTACAAATCTATACGAATGTTTTTACCTTTAAATTTGTTAGCAATGGCTCCTATCCATGCTCTGTCTTTATCGCTATATGCATAACCGATGTTAGAAGCCAGCAGGACAAACCCCTCAGTCTTCTCCACCTGATTGTCTCTTTGGTTTGACGTTTGAAGCACCGGTTGTACAAGCACAGAACGAGTTCCCCTGGGAAGCATCTCCCAGAGGTCAGAATCTGAGGCAAATACGACACAAACATACTGATTATGAAACCATGACACAGTGGCAGTTTCTATTACATATAGCTATGGAATCGTATCCAAGCACTCATAAAACCAGAATCTAGAACTTCAGTTTCCATCAACAGCAAATGCTTATATGAAAAATGCATTAGCATTCCTTGGTACAATTAAAAACTACTTGCATAGAAGATCTCTGTTAAAGGCACATTTGGATGCATTTCAATATTTCCGGCCTTGAAACAAAATCACAGCTTTTGTTTAAACATGACATCATAATTAGGCTGCCCCACTATACTACCTCCCAAAAAAGCCAACTAAACTCAAGGCAGTAGTAAACCAACTACTTGGGTTTGCTACCCAACAGTTTCAGATAGCAATCCTTTCATTTTGGAAGCCTACAATCTTTCTTCTACCTCTTGAAATCATAGCCCAACAAGCTTCCCATAGACAAGATGAGCTATAAACAGATCATAAGAGTTATAAATTCCCCAGGACTATGTCCTGCATCAATTAACGTATAACAACTCATTGAAATCTTGAACTGTTCTATCAAAATAATTTGAAAACAAAAAGAAGATAAATTAGTCAATTCCTCCAAGTGTTTAAAATTTCCTATTGCAAATGCCTCATATCAGGGTCCAGCAAACAAACTCTTTGAGTACATGTGATACCTCACCGAAACTGTACCCATTGGAAGAAGAATAGTTTCTCCATTTTGGTCAATAAAGCACTTCCTAACACATGCCACAGAGAATGGATCAGTAATATTACAGTTTCAGTATGATTGGCCGGGCACGGAAGCAAGCCAGATGACAATTGAGAGGGGAGAGGTGGGTGCAAGCCACAGCAAAAAAACGAAGCGATCAGGAATGCACAAAACCACCATATTGAAACTTAAATTTCTTTTTGAAATGCAGATACTTGTGTTTCTCTATATTACAAGGTTTCATTTGCTGATATGTTGTCGTTGCAGCTCACATGGAAGCAGAAAAAACTATGCAGGATGCCTTAAGAATAAACAATGACATCTCATGATTCCCTGTCATGTAGAACCATAGTGTTGAAAATAGACAAACAAGTGTTATAATTATTTCCTTAAGTGACAACGTAGAAAAAGGATAAGCTAGAAAACACCTGCATTCTGGGGAAAATAAAGGGTATCCTTCAAAGTAGAGAGGCCAACACGTTCAATCTGTTCCTTAAACCAGTCAAGTGCATGACTTTTTGATATCTCCTCAGGTGTATTCCAATAACCACGCACGCATAATGCATCTTGAATCAATATGAGCTAGCAAATCAATAATATTAGTGTACTGAAGGTTAATTCTCTAAAGAACCAAAGTAACTGATTTTAACTTTTGGATTGTAGAATAAAAAAGATGGTTGATTTTCTCATTAAGACAACAGTAAATTATCAGTAGATTATGTGTTCAATTCGAATATAGACATGGTTAAACCTGGAACATACCACAGATACGGTTTTTGTATTGCGCAACAGAATGTATGTTCCCCAAGCCAAATCCTCCTTCAGAGTGTCTAAAATATTTTGGGACATGAGAAAAATTTGCACAGCCCCTTCAGGGAGAACTATTTTATCCACTGCAGTAGCACCCTGCAAAATTTTCCCAAATACCAGGTTTTAGAAATGTTGAGCAGTCATGGCATAGCAGACCTGTACACAAATGCAAATAAGTAATTGTAATTTAAAGGTCTGTAAATCTCGCCCAATCATAAGCTTTAATCTGGTTCATCACTTCAGTAGAAGGTTTATTCTTTCATTTCAAACTGTTAATTCCATACAGTACCTATGTAAGACATCCCTAAGGCCAAGAGAATCTGGAAATACACAGGCAAGATGCACCTTCAAGATACCTGCTCTGTATTAACACAAAAGCAAGCTTATAGAATGGGGCAATATAAGCTAGAATTCTTTGTTTGTGAGGATCTACTTAGGTTTCAGTACAGTGGAAGCCTGTTGTTGATTCTGCAGTTCATGACAATAAATTACGATTGATGACTTGATTATGCAAATTCTCATGCCAAACAACCACACACAGCTTAATCGGAAGTTGTAAATCATCCAAATGGCCATGTATCTCCACGACATAGACGAGCCATACAATTCTATTCAACTTGGAGGATAGGGGCAAGATTCCAATGCATAATCACCCAAATTTTACACATCACTATTAAAACAAAACCAACTTACATTACAATACCATGTTTCAGTGTTTGCCAAGATGAGTCTACAGGTAATTTTACAATACTTCTATTGCTAAAATATCATAAAATTTCAGGCTTTGAACCTCTTTTGAATTGGTTAACATAGCAGTACAGTGATTTACTGTGGACACCTAAGGGTTACATGATACCCCCAATATTTCATCATTCCATACAGAAAGAACACTCTAATATCAAATACTTATTGGTCTTCAACGAGTTGAACTGTATCAAAATTCCGAACTTAAAACCCCCTCGACCCATTACCCAAAAAGAAAACACTCCTTACCCTTCAGCTAAGCTTTCATAGGGGGCATGAATAACTACCCATTTGCATCACAAGGTAATTATAAATTCCAAAGTTGCAGACACTACTTTTTTAGAACAACATAACGAGTGGAAGAGAGGTTTCATCCAGAAAATGAGAAGCAGAAGCATTTATCATCTGAATGGTAACGTACAAAAGTAAGTGAAGAAAAAAGACTTTCTCAGTCGTTATTGCTTATATTATTCCATATGTCTTGAACCCAATGAACATGAGCACAAGTTTCTACATTTTCCTTGATTAAAGACTTTTCTCTTCAGCTAGTTCGCCAACCAAACAGAATGCTAAAGCTTTTACCTTGAGAAATTTTCCAAGGTAGGGAAGCACAACTGAGAATGCGGCCAAAGAGAGTCCCAACACCTCTGTTCTCTACACAGGAAGATAAAATCCAAAAGATGCTATAACCAAAACTTAACAAAAACAAAAAAAGAGGGTTTGCTCACAAGCTGTGCTGGCGTTATTGTGGCCAAATCCGAACCCACGAAATGGTTCAACAGCAAAAGCGAACCAAAAGCATAGCCAATGTATCTGGGTAAGTATGATTCGTCCAAGCCAGGTATTCCTGAAAGCGCACGCCTTTAAACACAAACATACACAGAAAGAGATGGGTGATATATGTGCTTACCGAGAGTGAAGCGAAGAACAGAGAGGTTGATTTGCTGTTGATTTGTGGTTGTTTGAGAGTTGTCGAGAGGAATACAAGTGATTTTTGATGGAATTGTTTTTCTGGTGTGGAATTTGGAGAGAAGATGAGTTCTGGCGCGAATTTCTAACGGAAACGTTGACAGAATTAACGGATTCTGAGTGAAACGCCCCCTCATTTTCTGTATCTTTCCTCTTTCTGGGAGATGAGAAAATGTTTGGCCTTCGAAGATACCAAAACTGCGTATCCGAGTTTTTGACACTCCATTACTCATGATAGACACTAGTTCTACCGGAAAGAGCGAGTCTAATATTTACACCACACGCGCTTTCTAAGAGCGTCTCCTACAATCGAACACTTAGTTCGAATTTGATTTTTCAAGAGTTTCACTTATCTAATTATCTATATTTTTTTTATTTTTTCTCCTTGTTGAATTATTACTTAGGTATTTTTAATAAATTAAGAACATAATATAAATAATATAATATTTAAAAATATAAAATAATAATATATAAATATTTGAGGATGAAAAATAAAATTCGCCCGTTGTCTTAGCTTAAACGTGAACGTATCTGGTCATGGTTCAGATAGAAACCCACCCTGTCATTTGATCAACAATTTAGATTATGCCACGTAACCCGTCAAACCCGACGACCTCTCGTCGCTACCGACCGATTTAGCACCGATTGCGCACTCCAATCATCCCACGACACGTTTTCCTCAACAACCCCTTATAGCCGGTTCCGTAGGGTTGTTCCACCGGTGCAGCCGGTCACTCGTCCGTGCAATTCCCGCGAGATAAATAGGCGCGGTCTCTCTCTCTCTCTCTCTGCCATTGCAGTTCCGAAGAGCGCGTCACCTAGATTTTCTTTTTCTAGCTCCAAGTGTCGAGGTTCGAAGCAGTTCTTTCTCCTTCTATTAGTGCTATTATTTTTTGTCCAATTTTATTGTTACATCGATCTCATGAACTGTAAAGTTTCAATTTTACCAAAGAACATTCCTTTTTTTGACTAATTTCTATTTTGTGTGTATTTAATCATGAATTGGTGCGTAGTCTGTATGTGATTTCAAAAGCAAAAGCTTTCATTGAGTTCGAACATTGTAGATATCAGTAATTTAGGACTTCCAATACTAACAGTGTTGAGTTCGATCATCTTTTGCGGCTCCATGTGGCCGTGATAGATTTGGGTTTGATTTGCTTAATCAATTAGTTAATTGAGCGATTTCTTTTACATTACGACTTGCTACTGTTGAACAATTTTGGGCTTTCCTCATAGTATAAATCTTAGTGTCCTTGGCACGCTTTGTTAGAATTAGGGTTTGTTTGGAGCTAGTCTTTTGGGGGAACTAGAATGATCATTCCAATTTCGTGTTTCTAACTGGGTATTTATATATGACTTATATTTCGGGTGTCCTAGGTTTCTTTTTTATGTGCTTGTTTAGCCAGGTATTTTAGTGACTGATGATTTTCTGCTATATTTTTTAGTTGATTTGAAGGTGCTTGCATCAAGTTCTTACAAAGGTAGAATGGTTAAGAACCTTGGAAACATTAGGTCACTCGAGAACCTGTGGATTTACGGTTGAGATTGGTGATACAAAGGACAGGTTTTGATTGTGCTGTGGGTTTGAGTAAACAGGGATAAAGTTGTAAATCATAATAGTTGGGATTTGCCGGCGGCATGGTATTAAGGTTGTTTTGCTTGAGAGTAATCAAAAAGTTCCGTTGAGCAGGGATTAAGTTTATTCCCTTGTATCGGGAGTTAAAAGGCCTGGCACTGGATAGCTACTTGGATACCGGCCACCAATTGGCAGTGTCGCCCATGGCGCCCTCTCGAGTGGCTGGAGGAATGTCACATTCTTCTTCAAGTTCTGGCATCTTTTTCCAACGAGATTCACAGTCTCAGACTGTGGGGAACCCTCACTTGAGTTCATCTTTTGGGAACTCAAATTCTGTTCCTGGAAATGCACGTTCAAACTTGGGTCCTGTTTCTGGAGATGTAAGTACTACGCTCTTGAACAGTGTGGCAAGCTCGGGGCCAAGTGTTGGGGCAAGTTCGTTGGTGACGGATGCCAACTCAGGACTATCGGGAGGTCCTAATCTCCAGAGAAGTGCTAGCTTCAATACAGAGTCTTACATGCGCTTACCTGCATCACCCATCTCGTTCTCATCCAATAATATAAGTATTTCAGGCTCATCAGTTATGGATGGCTCATCTGTAGTGAAGCAGAGCTCCCACCAAGACCCAAACACTCAACAAGTACAGCAAAATCAGCAGCTTCAAGGGGCTTCCAGTGCCACATCCCTGGCCACATCACGAATGGTACAAGTTCCACTTCCCACTGGTCCAAGGATACCTGGGTCCTACATTCAGGAGCCCAATAATATGTCCCAGTTGCAGAAGAAACCCCGATTGGATATCAAGCAGGAAGATATAGTGCAGCATCAGGTTTTACAACAGCTAATGAATAGACAAGACACTATGCAGTTACAAAATACCAATCCTCAGTTGCAAGCTGTGATTCAGCAGCAGAGGCTAAGGCAACAGCAGCAACAATTGCTGCAGTCTATGCCACCAGTGCAACGGGCCCACTTTCTACAGCAGCAGCAGCAGCAGTTGCAATTGAGACAACAGCTTCAACAGCAGGGCATGCAGCCTGTATCAACCTTGAAGCGCCCCTATGATGGTGGTGTTTGTGTTCGTCGGCTGATGCAATATTTATATCATCAGCGGCAACGGCCAGCTGTGAGTTGATAGCTTACTGCATTTGGTTATATCCATCTTTCTTTGTTTATTCCTTTTCCTTTTTTTCGCCTTCTAACCTCTAGGTATCTATTTCTTCTGATTGGGTATGGACACATTCACTCAGTCACTGGTTGTATTATTTCATTTCTCACTGCAGTTGTATACAGAGATCAATGGTTTTTGCATAATGATGACCTTCAATTATTTTAACAGGACAACACTATTGCCTACTGGAGGAAATTTGTGGCAGAGTATTATTCTCCCCGTGCAAAGAAAAGGTGGTGCTTGTCATTATATGAGAACGTTGGCCATCATTCACTCGGTGTATTCCCTCAGGCAGCCATGGTTAGGCTTTTGGTTGTAGATATATAGACTGAACTTTTAATTGATTGCAAATGTATCCATCTCTTCTGATTGATTTGCATGCATAATTATGTTCACTTCTTTGTGTGCGTCCTTTCTTGCAATGCTTTCAGACAAGTTATACTTTCATTGTTTTCTCTGCTTTTCCTCTCAAGCAAAGTTTCTTATGTGTTGTTTTCCTTATATTTTTTCACCAGGATGCATGGCAGTGTGATATTTGTGGTTCAAAATCTGGAAGGGGATTTGGTGAGTGAAGTAGGAGTTTATTTGGTTGCTGGTGACTTCATCCTAGCTGATATTTGTACTGCATATTCATGAATTTTGATGATTCATTAGTAATTATTTTCTATGTGGATTTCTTGTTCAATGATAAAGAATCTTTATGCATAGTTTGTTAGCTGTTAATACATCAACTTGCGACCTACCATTACGTATCTATGTAAATAAATCTATCTATTAGTGACAGAGATCTTAGGGCTTTAAATTGGTCTCTCTTGACTCTACAGTGTATTTTTCGTACCTTACTAACACATGTATTGATTGGATATATGCATTTTCTAACTTGTCTTCCTCCTTTCTTGTGGGGGGTGTCCACAGAGGCAACTTTTGAAGTACTCCCTCGACTTAATGAAATCAAGTTTGGCAGTGGTGTCGTAGATGAACTTCTATTTTTGGACTTGCCACGTGAATGTAGATTTCCTTCTGGAATAATGATGTTGGAGTATGGAAAAGCAGTTCAAGAGAGTGTGCATGAGCAACTTCGTGTGGTTCGTGAGGGTCGGCTCCGTGTCATTTTTACGCCTGATTTAAAGGTTAAATAGTGCTATTCATTTGGCAGGTTTTTAGTTTCTTATGTCCAATGAAGTAACATTTACCACTTCTGTGGTACATATTTCAGATTTTATCTTGGGAATTCTGTGCGCGTTGCCATGAAGAACTTCTTCCTCGTAGGTTGGTCGCACCACAGGTATTGCAGTCTTTAGCCTTGCTCTACTTGGTTGATATTGGATTTACTTAAGTGTGTTTGTGTGAATTATAAAATATGTTATTCTCACAATGGTGTTCATATTTGGAGCTCTTTATATATAGTTTATTTATCGTATTGTAGGAAACCCCGGTTATATTGAATATAAAAAATTTGCTCTACATTATAGAGTTGGGAGGAATCCTTCTTAATGAAGGAACAACAATGCCTTTGAGAATTCAAAGAACCCAATGAATGGACCTCATTGAGTCTAGAATTGGCCTTTGGAAGATGAGTATATCACTTATTTGTAAAAGAAAATTCAGGAAAAGAGGTCAGTAACACATTTTTCCAAAAAATTTCTTCTTCCTTGTTAGCTGATTATACACCAAAGGGATCCAAAATAATATTTGGAGCTTCTCTCTCTCTCTCTCTCTCTCTCTCTCACACACACACACACACACACACTCATACACACACATGTTTTGATGACATAGCCTCTGTATGTAAAAATGTGTGGAACTTGTCACATGGAAGGGCTTTGGTGGAAGTCAAACACTCAAGACTTCTCATGAAATGCGATGACAAAAAGGTTTTGAACAACTTTGGAAATAGTTTCAGTGAACATGTAATAATGTTCCACGTAGGTTTGGGAAAGATATTATGGAGAACAAAAACCTCATTTTTAGATATTTCCTAATCCTTTTAGGATTATGCACTGCCATTTTTCCTGAAATTGTATGTAAAATTACTGGGTGATTATAAACTGGACCTGATATAACTTGCTTAATATGAGCATATATAAATCTCCTTGTAAATAATCGGTAATTATTTCCCAACCCAAGAGACAGAGTTCAAAGATAGACAATGGAAGAGTAGAATATAGAATAAAGTTTTATTAATACGACAATAACTTATTCTGAAATGCAACAAGCCTCTGTTTACAAGTCGTATGGATTGATGAAAGGGTGATTAATATCTCAAGAAAGTCACAAGTTTAACCAAGTTGGGCCCACCTACCTTTTATATTTTCTTAATGGCGCACACACCACCCCCCGGGGGGCTGGGGGCTGACCTATTGATCTTGAGTTTAAGTGGTTATATGACCATTCGGTGTAAGATCCATACAGTGCATCTTCATCATTTGTATTCTTTTAAAATTTTTACAATATTTCTCAGGACATATTTTTATGTATCCAAGTAGAGGAGCTCCTCTAGGTCAGGCGGTTTGTATAGATTGCTTACCTTTCATAAAAGGTTGTCTATGTGTTAAACAACTTCAATTTGACATTCAGTTTAAATGAGCCCCTCATTTTTTTTTCCTGTTTTGAGCCAATTAGGCAAAGAGAAAGACCTCTGAAATTTGAAACTTAAACTCCTGACACATACCTTATTTTGCAGGTGAATCAGTTGGTACAGGTCGCGCTAAAATGCCCAAGTACAGTTGCAGAAAGTGGATCTGACGGGGTTTCTCAGCAGGATTTACAGACAAACAGTAATATGTGGGTTATTTCGATATTTAGTTTTTTGGTTGCAATGAATAGTTTGCCTTCCAACATAGTTTTGACATTCATGAAGAGTTTTTGCTTTGTTATAATTTGAATACATCCTGTTTAGTTGAAAGAATAAATATTCTTCTCTCATTAGAAGACGGTCGCTTACTCTCGTTGCAGACTGGTTGTGACACATAAATACTGATTTTTATACTACCTCAGGGTTGTTACAGCAGGCCGCCAGCTTGCCAGGAGTTTGGAGTTACATTCACTGAATGACTTGGGGTTTTCCAAAAGATATGTGAGGTGCTTACAGGTGTGTTTCTGCCTCATTTTTAACCCTCTTTGGGATGAAAATTGACCTTTTGTGCTAGCACTCCTTTGACTTTTCTTATACTTTGTGTGCTCCAACTTCTAACAGATAGCTGAGGTTGTCAGTAGCATGAAAGACTTGATGGATTTTTGCCGAGAACATAAAGTTGGGCCAATTGGTAACTAATTGCTGTTGTTGTCGATACATGTTTGTCAGTTGATAATCTCTTGTTTTTGGCTGTCATATTGTCCTTCATTAGGCTTCTGGATCATTGGTGGAGCCACTGGTCCTCAAAAAAGGACAAAACTTCTTTCTGTACTGTGTGTGTGTGTGTATAATATCACAACTTTGTGGTTAACATATTAGAGGATTTTGTTCTAGGGAAAAAAAATATCCTCCAGGTTGGATTCCATTATTTTTCTTTTGAAATGCCTCTCAAAAAGAATAGTTTGAACTAGCAAGAAGGTATATCTATCTTGTATATTTTTTATTTTAATTAGCCTACAAAATTATTATTGTATCTGATCTCTTATTTTATATATCTTAGTGGCTTTAAAATGCCTTTAGATTTTCATGAATGCAAAAACAGCTACCTCAAATATGTGGCGCTGTTTCTGCATTGATCTGATATAGCAACTAATTTGCAGAGGGCTTGAAAAGTTTTCCTCGGCATCCCACTGCAGACAAGCTTCAGCTGCAGAAGACGCAAGAAATGGAGCAGCTGGCCAGTATTCAAGGTCTGCCAACCGATTGCAACTCTCTCGGTAAGCTAGTAGCGCAGCACCCTGGAGTTAACGGCCAGATGAGCAATAATCATCATATGGTCGGTCGAGGATCTTTAAGTGGCTCAGCACAAGCTGCTCTGGCACTGACAAACTACCAGAATCTGCTGATGAGACAGAATTCGATGAATTCAAACTCCAATTCACTTCAACAGGAGTCATCTTCTTTTAATAATTCTAACCAGAATCCATCCTCAACATTTCAAGGGTCTGCTGCTATACTGCCGGGAACCTTGCAGAATTTACCAGTCAACAGCTTTTCAAGTTCCCATCTACTGCAACCACAGCAGCGGTCACTGAGCTGTAATGGCTTACTCCAACAAAACCATCCACAACTGTCTCAAGGCAGCCAGGCTTTACAACAGCACATGATCCAGCAATTGCTGCAGGATATGAACAATAATGGTGTAGGAGGGGTACAACAGCAGTCCCTTTCTGGCCAGAGTGCTAATGGGAGTGTGACAAGAGATGGGAGAGTATTTGGAAGCAACACCTCAACACCAACTGCAGCCCCTGTCAATGGACTAGGTGGTAGTATAGGAAACACTCCCAGCAGAAGCAACAGTTTCAAAGCTCCATCGAAGAGTGACTCTTCGGTAGCAGCAGGTGGCAACAACAGGTTAAGCCAGAAAACACCAGATTTACCACAGAATCTTCATTTATCGGAGGATATGGTTCAGGATATAGCCCAAGACTTCACAGTAAATGGGTTTTTTAACAGTGACCTTGACGATGATATGGCTTATGGCTGGAAAGCATGACTAACGAACGATGGGTTGATCCTCTTATTGGCTTTCATCACATGTCGTCGCATATACCTTTGTACAGGTTATTTGAATTATCGTCCTTATCGTTTTCTATTTTTTTCCCAATGACTCAGTTTTCTTTCTTCTTGTGGAGACGGTTGTGAAATCAAGACTTGTACTCCGGTAGGTATTAGGTTTACTCTTTCTCCTTTAGTTCCCCGTCGGTTTTCTGCTACCTAAGTCTTGCAAGTGTAATCTACAGACGAACTTGAGAGTTGACAATTTCTCCATTTTCGTATTAATACAACTTTTATTTTATTGCTTTATATTTATATATTATATTGGTTCTCTCCTTGTGGCCTTGATCGTCTGAATCAATTTCTCACCACATCTGCATATTATTTTTTAAGGTAAAATGATATATGGGGACTTAATTTGACTTGATATAACCATTTAACCTTAAAAACTCAAATGTCCTTTTTCGACAGCAGAATCTATTGGTACATGGGAAAACCATTTATTTCGGAGTGATTCATATCATACAGTAGCAGACAAAAATGATTATTATGAGCCCATCCATCAGGATATGATCCACATTGGACATGAACAATAACACCCAGGTCAAATGATCGGCTTAGCAAGTAACAATGTCCAATTATACATCTGGATAAAGATCACGGTATTCAAGTTCTATACAGTAGCTAATGGTTTATAAAATGGAAGGGAAGAAGGAAAAACATAGCGTAACAATCAGAGAGAGAACGAGATAGCAAGCAGAGTCAACTTCTTGAACTTCTCTCCGAAAAGCAAAGGCAAATGAAGCCACCTCTCGGGAACGAACTCAAAAGGTTGGCCTCCAGACGGAGGACAGTGAGGTTCAGTTTCAATCCACAGCATTCAAGTTCTATCCAACACCTTCGGGGTTATATTCAACTGAAGTGTAGGGAAAAAAAAATTAGGCAGGGAATTCATCATCTGAATCATCATCGTTGACTACAACTGCTCCAGCCCCAAATAACGTGTTCATGATCATTTGCTCCCAACCCCTTATGCTTGTAGTAAAAAAACGGAAACGAGAGGGGCTACTCGTCTCTCCTTCAGATGATTTAGTCGAGTGCAAGCAATCATCCACATCCTGGTAGTACTTCAAGGTGCACTTTCCCGAGGGATCAAGTATTTCAACATCAAAAGCCGGCAAGAGGGGTCGTCCTACGACTTGAACATGAGAGACGCTGCAACACACAACAAGAAGAGACGTCAGATGTCAAAAGCGATCATAATCTGATAATTGACTTATGCATCTATGGATCATAGCAGTCTCTCTAAAATCTCTCTTATCAAACCCTTCTTATTCTTTAGTCGGCAAACCCTTGCTTGATATTATTGGACAGAAATAAGAACCAAAGCAGCACTTTTGACTTGTAGTGTCATTTCAAACAATAAGCCTTACTCAAGCCATGGAAGAAGCAAAAAACTTCACTGGCTACCATGTCACCAACCACATCCCCCCAAGGGAACACATTTGGCATTGAGAGATTCCCTATCCTTCAGTAAGATCACAATGAAGGTCTACGAGAAACAATTAACAATCATGGGAATATGGACTGAGAAGAACTAACCATATATAGTATAAACCATCCATTTCTTGTTTCTGAACCCTACCCGACAGCTCTATTTGCAGGATCCCTCCAATACAAAGAGCAGGTTCAGGCAGCGTAAACTTTTGCAAGTGGTTCTCCTGTTCCCATCAGGAAACCATTTAAGCAGTTAATATTTATTTTGACAGCTTACATAGTAAAAGAAAAAAAAAATCAGACTGAAAAGTTGTCAAGATGTGAAAGAGAGATTCTACATCTAAATCACAAAGCACAAGTTTATTAGGTGTGGATATTATCATAGGGTATTCATTTCCTGAAAAGTACAGTACTGTGTGATGGAATACCCATTTGACATTTTTTTTCTTTCTCATTTGGAGTACATGCCGTAACCAAGAATAGGTGCATATGAGTGCACCAACTAAATAGTACCTAAGCAACGCCATATCATTATCCATCTAAAATTCCATAACTGTTAATATGTCAAGATAGAGACCCAAATACAAAAAACAACCCAAATCTCCTTCCAAAGCTTATATACATAAAAAGAAAGAAAAAGAAAGTACTAGGTACTGCAGAACTCACTTGAGCCATTGGGAATTCTGGTGAAACATACGTCCATACAAACTTGCCGCCAGTAAATTCCTGAGCAGAAGCAGATTCATCTCTGCCATAACTTTCCAAATCCACCGGACACTTAGGGTGCCCCAACCGAAATCGGACAGCCTTGGCTGAATATATAGGGAAGCCAAACTGAAAATATGCTGGCATGCAAGCATAATATTAGCCTCAGTAAAACAAGAAAGAAAACAAGTTTAAGGTCCATTCAACCGAACTTGAAAGGAGTTTCAGATTCTACCTTGAAATGGTTTTACATGGATTTCAGTAATCACACATAGATTTGAAGTCAACTTATATAGTAACATCTCAGGAACTGTAGGTTCACTTTCTCCTTTGCTCGACCAGTATGAAGGTCTTTGTTCAACCCTATCACTCGGTTCCAATGTGTTCTGAATGCTTTCTTTGGGGTAATTATCAGTGCTGGATGCACGTATGGCCTCTGATGCGCAATCTTTTCTCACGAAAGAGGTAAGACCTCGAGCTAAAAAAGCATATACTCTATGATCCCTCTCCAGGAATTCCCATTCCAGAGAGTTGTCAGGCCTCACGTCTATGGGTTCTATCATATTGTTCACTCCAATAACATGACCAACGCTTGATGTTTCAGGAAACATTCTTAGACAAAGCTGCTTACTGAGGCCATTCGCTATCACTGCATAAGTTTTAGATAAATATAATAATTATTCAACAACGAACTACAGAGCTGTATGTCACCTATTCTAGTTGTCATAAACACCAATTGGATTTTCTGTTCAAATTGAAAATGATGCTGCTAAAACCAGGTTTAGTCCTCATTAATCGGAAATAGTAGGAAGAATGGACTCCCTACAGACAGACTTTTGACGCTCACAAAACTATTTACTTGGAGAGACAGTCAACTATAGCAATTAAGACTAATTAAATGACAGCTTTCTTCCTCATATTCTAAATGTAGAGCAAAACAATTACCCCAATATCCGTAAAAGTTTATAAGCCAATTTTTGGAATGATTTTCTCAATTAATATCGGGATCAATTCAAGGTTATTTCATAATAACTGCAAGTATCGGAACATCAAACCAAGAAGTGCAAATAATGGTTATGGTCCAGACAAGCTAACATAGGTACTTCCAGCAGCTGCGTTCAAAAGAGATTGCAATGAATTCGAAAGAGTTCTGCACTCGTCTTAATACTAGAATTATAAACTGAGAGCACATAGTAAAATCATTACTGGTAGTTTTCTGGCATGGAAAACAAGAATATTAGTCCATTCAAAGACTCATATTGCACTACACCATACATCTTACCCAAAAATTTTCAATTGGATACTTTCAGATTTGCAAATGAATGTAGTGTGAAGGAAGAACTACGAGAAATCTAATACACACACTATGAAAGTGAAGATACACAAGCAAGTATCGAGTGTATGAAGATAAGGGGGGAAAATGAACAATTACTTAAAATCATAGAATTCTGACTCCGTAAGCTCACCAAATTGCCGCCAGGAACTTGAGACTGCACAGACACGGACAACATCAGATGGATCCTCCAAACACATGAGGATCTTTATAGACACATCAGGTCCAAGCCATTTTATAAAATCACCACAACCTTCCATGCCAAATGAACTTCCCCAATGCTACTCAATGATCAAAGCCTTGTACCTCCTCAAAAAACCTAATTTGGCATTCCAAAAACCATTAAAACCAAATTAATGATATTATCAAAACAATCAAGCAAAATTGACAAAAATACAAGAAACTGCAAAATTAGAAATAAGATAATCCTTTCAACACGTAATTATCAGATATATATATATATATATATATAATAAAAATATACAAACATTCGCATTTTTTTTTTTTTTTATCGAAATTCAGCCATTCAACCAAATAAAATAAAAAGAGATCGTTTTACATGGCGAATTGTAAAACGAACCAAAACCTCATATTAAGGCAATTCAATTGTAAAACGAACCAACCAAAAACCTCACATTAAAGCAATTCGACGCAACTAATTTTGAGGAAATAAGGACGTCAATCCAGTTTATACGAGGATACACCGACAGAGAGAGAATGTAGACTTTGTAGTACGGAAAAGGCGGAGATACAAAGGAATTTACATTTGCAAGTCGTGCAAAGGTAAGGATGGTGACAGATAGAAATCAAAACGCTAGGGGGGAGGGGGAGGGGGAGGGGGAGAGGGAGAGAGAGTGTGGTCACACCGACACCGACACCGACACCGTCAGGCACGGCTTGTGACGAGAAGAAAGTGAAGCCAATGGCGGAACCCAATTATTGTTTCAACATAATTGAGTGATTAATTATTATTTTCCCATTCAAATCATTAATTAATTTAGTCTTTGTTGTTTTTTTGTGGTGGCGTGGGGCGGGGCTGGGGCTGGGGCTGGGGAATTTTAAGCAAATTGGAGAGGATAATTAATACAAAGAGCTGAGAAAACGATGCGTAAAGAAAGAGTGGAGGAAAAGCTTATCGTCGTCTTTGTCGGTTGAACCGTCATTGTCTCGTTTTCCAAATGATACGTGTCATACCATAATTGTTGATACGTATGTTCAAGTGAGATCTCCATTGATCATGTTAGATTGAGATTTTTTGCATTAATTAATTTTGTTTAATTATAGATTATAAGTGAAGAGTTCACTAATATAAGGAGAGTTTTTTTTCCTACCATAGAAGATGCCTACCTAGGTACCCCTCTCTCTGTCACTCGCTCCTCCGCCAAAGTCTCTCTCTCTCTCTCTCTCTCTCTCTCTCCACAGGCACGCAATGGAACACACACACAATCATCTATAATAATTAAATAGAGTATTTTTCAAATTTTTTAAATTAAAATCAACTCTGTCAATTTAAAAAAAAAAATAGAAGAACGGCTCAGATTTTATTGGTGTTTAGGTATCCGGTTCAAATGTTATGTTAACTCATCCAATTAAATCTCAAATTGAAATTAGCTCTCCTCTACTAGGAATGAGCTCAAGTATCCTTCCTCTCAGCCCTTCGAACAAACACATACACGTACACAATCATACATACACACACACTGACATGCACTGAGTGTTAAACATGTCGGGTTGAGTCATTTCACATCGGGTTGATTTTGAGTTTATGTCAAAAATTTCAAAATTCAAACATGATATATTTAATAATTGTGTCGAGATGTGTGAATACTAACCCGATCTGACCATTAAACGGGTTATCCGAACTCGACCTATTTGATATGTTTAATGAACAAGCCATTTTTGGGTTAACATACATAACATGATCTATTTAACTTCTTTACCACACATAACACAAGCATTTTTAACACAACCTATTTTCACACCAGTTCATTATTATTAAACACATTATTTAATCATTCATTCAAAATTTTTAATAATTTGTTTACAAATAACATATCATATCTCATCAATAAAATCAACTAAAATGCATTCAATTTTTAACTGAAAAATTAAAACAAGAACTATACTAGTATACTATCATAATAATATTAAGAACTATATTGTCAATTATCATAGTAGAAACAAGAATTAATAAGTAATAATATTAAGACCACATTAGTCATATATAATAGACAAACTATATTGTCATAAACGAGTTAAACGGGTCTACAATGGATTAAGTCAGGTTTGTGCCCGAATTTTATCAACCCATTTAAAATATACAGGTTAATCAGGTCAAAATCAAGTTGACCTGATTTTGACATGAATCCGACATGATTTTTTTCATGTTTAAGCGTGTTGACCCGTTTTAATCTATTAACTCGTTTAATTTGGTGTCCGGTTCGTGTAGTGTCGTGTCAAAAATTGACAGCCCCAACACATGTTCAAAAAAATCCAGCACACACACACACATACACACAAACACATACATTTTGGTGTTTTGATTATTTTGCTATTTTTATAATTGAGGCGATTTCATAATTTGGGGGTTTTTTTTTTGTGCATAATTCGAGTGTTTTGAATGATTTGATAATTAGGGTGATTTGTCAATTTGGGTGTTTTGATCATTTTGGTGTTTTCATAATTAGGGTGATTTCATAATTTGAGGTTTTATTTTGTATAATTTGTGTGTTTTAAATTGAATGAATGTTATAGTATAATTTTCATTGAATGTTTGATCTAATGAAGTGTTACTTTCATTAAATATGATTTTTAAGGTTTTTTTGATGTGAAAGTGATATGTTATAGTTGTTAATAGTATTTTGATTAAATGTTATGATTTCAAAATTTAATGCTTGGTTTATTCTGATTGCAATTAAGTTTTGATTTTATTTTTTATTACATTGGATCTTTTGATTGTATGAAATGGGAATTGACTTAATTTTTTTCAAACTGTGGATTGAAAGTTAGCTTTATTTTGTGTAATGATTTTATGTTTAATTGCTCGTCTTAAATATATATATTTGTTTGAGTACACGTTGGTATTTGTTTAGGGTTATGTCTTTAGAGAAAACTATATCATTTTTTTATAAAAAAAAAAGTGGGTTGATATTAATTAACAATTTATTTTGTTACCTCTTGCCTTCAGACACGACCAATTACTAATTCTTTATATGCTACTAAAGCGATAGCATCCATCATAGAATTGTGAGGTATGTTTGACACGTATATTTTCATTAAATGCTATTAATTATAAGCCTATTTCTCCAGTAACATTACAAAAAAAATGGACTTTTGCTTCCGCAAAAGAGAGGTAGTAAAAAGTATTTGATGCAAAAAGTTAGCTTCAATCTATTGTCAAAACAAAGCATATTAGCATCCTTAAATTACCAAAGTAAAAAAAAAAAAAAAAACAACGCAAAATATAGGTATTTGCTTTCGGTATTTTGTGCAAACATACATATCTCATAAACTGATAAGATATAAAAAAATAATTTACAAGACAACACAAAAGCAATAAAATAAAAATATTTCAATATTCATAAAAAGAAAAAAATTCTTACGAGTACATAATAGCCGAGGTTTTCATAATTACAAAAAAATTTAAAAATTCCTATCAAATGTATCAATACTTGATTGAACAAAAAAATACTCTCTCAATGCACAAAAAAAAAAAAATCTCTCCCAATGAACCATTCACCATCTGTCGAAAACTTGAAAAAATACAATTTTTGTTATTATGTTGTCAATTGTAAGACGAATAACTAAATACATAAATAACAAATTATATTCATTTTTTTGTTTAACTTGTATATAAACTTACCTCTACTCACTGAGAACTAATCAACCCTTTTTTTGCGTGCTATGTCTCCATTCTAGCCCCCAGCTAAATCAGTCTACTAATAGGAAAATGAAAAATGAATTGAACCATTAAATTAGTCAAGTAATAGAAAATTTAGAATTAGGAAGAAAGGAAAGCTAAGCAAAACATAAAATTTTATCCACAAAACTTGGAGGTTTTGCAAAGTGATAATGGCATGCATGATCCCAACATATGGCCAAGGGGAGCATGGTCCTACCCGGACTTCAGAAACCCAGCTAGGTCGTCCGTGCCTGGCAGTTTAAGCCTTGGTCCAGCAGCCTCTTTTCGATCCAAGAGCCGCATAATAAGAAAACTCAACAGTCTCGGCTAGTTTCAGTTAGTTAAATAGATCGGAAAATTCGTACTGCAATTATGACAAGCTCGATCTTAGTTGCTCTGAGCACTCCGCCAATCTCACGGTCATTCTATCGGCAACCACCTTTGGTTAAGTTAAAGAAAGGATAGACCGAACCAGCTCCCTAATGAAATTTCAAACCAAGAAATGTCACCCGAAGAACACCTTCAAAGCTCGGCTGAAGTTGGACTTGAAGCACGCCTTCAAAGCTCACCTTTCCTGAATCAACCGCCCATCTTCATGCCCTTGCCTGCCCGCCTGACTTGCTTGAAAGAAGCTCTGAAACACATTAGGGTGGCCGTGTCGTGTTGGATTGTATTATTTCAGGTTTGAGACAAGCACTAGTTAATTTTAACTCAATTTATTTAATTAATCATGTTATATCATGTTGATCTATTTATTTTTGTGTTGTCTCTGTGTTGACCAATATAACCTGTAAATAAAAAATTTAACACTCAATTTTATGTCTAAAATTTTATTATCACCTAATCAAGTCTATACTCGATACTTTTTGCATAAACTAAAAAATTAACTTAATAAATATAATAATAAAAATGAGTAAAAATATTTTCTTTTATATAAGAATTAAATCACTTCGTATTGTTCATGTTTGACATTAACCAAATCCATTTATCATTCGTGTTAATGGGTCATTGTTATATATAGGTTTATATCAAAAAATGACAAACATTAACTCACCAATTTCTTATTGATTTTAACTCGTGTCTTTTGTATTTTTTTCGATCAGGTGTGGTATTTCTATTCGACTTTCTACCGAATAATTGGATAAGAAGTCGAGTAGGAAATCGGGTAAACAATTTTGTAGCCATTAATTTTGGATCATTTTAACAATTCAATTAAATAACATGCACCAATTTAATAATACAATAAATCAATAACACTAAAACCTAAAACAACTACAACAACAATTACAATAAAACATAAGAAAGCATGAACATCAGTCCATCATAATTGTTACACAAATACAAATAATTATTTTAAGTTTAAACCATATGAAACACATTAAAATCATAATTGCTCTAATAGTTCACTAGTTCACCACAAATCATGTAATCTACACAAAAAATAAGTCCATATTTTCGTAACTCAAATATCCACAATAATAACAATGTTATAATATAAATTATACCACACAAATACTCTTATAATTACTAAAAAAAATATAAAAAAGTTAAATATATTTTGTATAGGTAGGGTAAGGTAGGAATGAGAAAATTGATAAGCATTTCGCATTCCTACCTGATTTAATGGAATACCAAAAATTCTTCTGCATTTCTAACTGATTTTTGCGGCTAGCCATTCAATAGGGTAGGGTAGAGGGTAGGAAATTACGAACAATCAAAAATTTGAACACCCCTAGAAAGTGGTTGTGAAAAAAGTGAACATCCTCCCAAGAGAATTCTATAGGAGACAACTCATCCCAATGTACTAAAACCTGGTTCTAATTTTTAACTGAACGAGAATCAAGAATAGCCTTCAGAAGAGGGTGAATTTCGCCTTGTGTAAGAATAGGCAAAGAGGGTTTAGTTGCATCTAAATTTCCATGGAAAGGTTTAAGGCAGGACACATGAAAAACAAGGTGTAGTTTGGAGGAGGGAAGGTCCAATTTGTAAGCCAAAGAACCAACTTTGGCTAAAATAGTAAAGGGGCCATAACAACAAGGTGAGAGTTTAATGTATCTTTTGGAAGAGAGACTAAGTTGGCAGTGAGGATGAAGTTTAAGTAGAACTTGATCGCCCAA